TCAATTATAATTACAAACTATTATATATTTAAGGGTATAAAAAATTAATTAAAACTGATTTATAGTGAAGGTAAAATTGATTTATTTAAACATATTTAAAACAAACTACCGTCAATTATTTGTGTACACTGAATATTTATTTAAGGACATAGAAGTAGAATAAAATAATACATTTTAAAGTAAGCTTAACTAACTAAAATTTATTTAAATAAACTAAGAAAATGTGTATGACACTTTTTGTTAGTTTAAAATCTGAATGAAGTTAAATAAATTATAGTAAATAGGCACCAAATTTTAAACTTGGTGGAAAAGAAAATATGTCTGGCTGTTTTCAAATCTCTTACCTAATAAATTCAAGTCAGTTTTTAGATTAAAGTAATAATACGCATAATTTTTATAGTAGATCCAGAGAATTTGCTACATTTCTTGAGCACAAGGATTGGTCCGTTGTGATATCACAGTTAAGATACCGCTCGTACACCAGACCTGAAGAACCACCTCAAAGGTAGAACTCCCAAACATTCAGAGCAGCTATCTTATTAAAATAAAAATGAACCAGTCTAAAAAGTCTCAATCACCAATTTTAAAATCAACAGCTCTACCTGATCAGTTAGAAAGCGTAAAGATAGGCACTGATACAAGAGGCGGGTTACAATTTCCTCCTTACCTATTGAGCCACAACTCCGTTAAAAACCGTTAGAGGGCACACCAAGACTTATTGAAAATGGAACTGAATTTTAGCAATTCAACAGCTTTTCGTTGAGAAAGCCAACAAATTTTTTCCAATTTGAACGAAGTGAGTTTTCTGATCTAACAAGAATCTTTAGCTACTCAACTTCTCTTTGTCAGATATTAATATACAATTGTGAATTAAGTTATTGCAAGTCTGTTTGACACGAGTTGATAAATATATACGTCATTTATATTTCTATGGTACCGAGAATGTATAGGTTTCAGGAGTTAATTCTATCTGTTAAATGATATGGCTCTCTGATCTCCGTTGAAGGTGACTATTAAGATCTACAACTCTAATAAGATGTCAGTTCTATAACTTTTCTTGGAAACCGCTCTGAATGATATAGAAATCTATTATCGATTAAACATCTACCGCTATTTTTGTGGTTTTCTTTATACTTTTATAGCGTCAAAGCTGAAATTATAGAATATTTATATTGTTTGTATTTTCTTCTAAAGATTTTATATTTCAATTACGGATCATTTTGTAATACCAAAGGTATACGTCAAAACATAAATCATGAACATGTTCATCGTTTTGATAATATATTTTTAGATCAGATCACTTTTTGAAATTTTGTAAATCCCTGATTTAAGTTGAATTCTAAGTTTATCAT